TCTCTCTCTCCGGTATGAGCTTGTATTTTATTTGAAGTAGCTCAATAAACATCATTACCGAGGGTGACGGCAAGCTACTCCTTCAGTTTGTCACTATACTAGTATCTTTTGAATTTGTATGAGTAAATTGCATTTTTCTTTTTGTAAATTGTATCAAGTTGCTGAGGTGAAAAATGATCCTTATCTTAATAAGTGGTGTTGGAAAAAAGTTTTATAACAAAAATTCGAATTTTGACGGTTGTGATGTATTGCTATTCTTCATTATGTATGTCAGGTGCATTTGTAGATAAGTCAATAAGAATATAAGTAATATGCAATAAAGATATCCATGTAGCCATAAAACGCATTTTTAGCCCGTTTAAACGCGTCTGAAATTGAAACAGTCTCCAAACACACTGAAATGCGTTCATCATATGGGTGTTTGAATGCGTTGCAAAGTCTTGCATGCGTTCAGATGTGTTTCATGACTAAAATGCATCACAACTGATTTTACATTAATTTTTAAACGCGTTGCAAAGTCTTGCATGCGTTCAGATGCGTTTCACGACTAAAATGCATCACAACTGGTTTCCATTAGTTGTTAAACGCGTTTCAATGCGAACAGTTTCTTTTTTGCGTCGGAATGCGTTCATAACTGGAAATAATATTAACTTAGACGCGTTTCAATGCAATTGCTTTTACTTTTGCATCCGAACGCGCCTACCATAAATGCAATTAATGCTTTTGAGTTCCAATCGTGCATGTAAATGTAGTTTCTTTTTCTGTTTTGCATAGACAAGATACATATGAACGTGTTTCTAGCTGCAAGTGCATATAGTGCTATCAATAATGCAGATTACTTCGTCCCAGTGCACGTAACTAAATTTCGAACAGTAAATTGAACTGCGTGTTTCTTACACAAAAAAAGCATAAAAATTATACAGGTAATTATATAGACGACGTATTCAAGTCTTACTGCATTTCGAATTCTTAAAGAGGACTCTTCTTAATAATCTGCACTTCAAAACATCAGTGGCTAGTATTGCATAAAATAGAATATAAACACAAATAATTGGATACGAGAAATCTCATCATATTTGTGTTCATCATATAAAGTCATGAAGACTTAGTTAATCTGTGAAATAGAAATAAATGAGTACACGTATCAAATTTTGAAATATACAGAACATTCATTCAAGAACGGTATTACAACAATATTGTTTTGTTACATGTCACTACCACCACCTTTTTTTCATGAAATCAATTTCGCTCTTGTATAGCACATACGTTAAACGTAACAATTTAAATTTCAAAATAAATAAAATTTAAATGTTAAGCAAAAATGTTCACTTTAACTCAAACATGAAGTTCAAAGTTAGTTTCCATATAAACCTATTTGAGATACAAACAGATAAGAAGTAGACGAAACAAAAGAATCCAGATGTAGTTCAGACACAATGATAGAGTTGCTTTCAAACACAACTTGAAACAGAACTACGTCTGAATGTGGGTAAAAACAACTTAAAATAGCGTCTAAATGCGATCAGAACACAAAATGCGCATTCAGGTACTATTGCCACCGTGCTTTTAGACACGTCCATGTGCAACAAATATTTTATCTGGGTTGGTTATGAACGCATTTACAATACATTTAATGTTTATGTGTTAAAATCTAAAGTTTTTTTCTACTTCTTCATATACGAATTCTTAAACTAAGGAGTCATATGTGACAGAAGAAACAACATGCATATAATCGTCTACAAAAAACTCAATTCTTTAAATTTGTTTTCTTCAATTTCCACTAATTTTTTTGAAAAGTAAATTCTATAGAATTTATCTTCACCTCGCTATGATCAAAAATTTCATTCAAAATAAAACAGGAAAAGAAAAAATAATGACTTAATTCGAATTTAAAATTTAAATTAATGTTTTTTTACTTTAAAAAGACAAAAAAGTTAAGATGCTGCATCCGTCGAATATTTATTGAATAAGCAATTGATTATCGAAAAAACCGTTTTTCTTGTATTCTGTGATCCAAAAACTATGATTATTATTTTTATAAAGTTAATCATATGTAACCGATGTCATGTATACAATTTTATGTGACACTGATAAATTAAAAAAATGAAAATATTTCCAAGTTTATATAATTTATTGAAGTAATTGCTAAATTGATCTTTTCCTCTATAAAAATTCACATGATAATAACAGATAAGGCTGTACGCGTATTTATAGCTTCGTGATAAGTTCAATTTCTTTCATTCTGTAGATATCATGGTCAAATCTCGTTTGTTGTACTCTATTCAATAACTTAATATGTTAAATTGAAATAAAAATATCATGTGGCGATGAAAATGGATCGATACCATGATATAGAGCACAATTTTTTAAAATTTAACAAATTTTGGATATCCTAAAATGCGTTTAGATGCATCTAACAATAAACAGCGTCAGGATGCGTTTCCCTATCAGAACGCGTTAGGACATCCAAAAATGTTGCATTTTGAACGCATCCAGACGCGTGAAGTTACATTGCTGACAAACGGTTGGAGATGCGTCGAAAATAAAAAAAATGGATACACGAATAATATCAATAAATTCGGATTGTTTATGTCATCATTAAGACGAAATCTTAGATAGTGTCTACCTATGAAAGTCTACACATTGGTCTTATTTGTACCATAATAAGTACCTAGAAGATTTGTGGAAAAAGACGAATAATAAATGCAACTGGTTTCAATACTACATCAGGATTTCAAAGCTATTATAATCGATAAATGTTTTCTGTTATTACTTTTCTGGTTCTTTTCGGTGCGTGTTGTTTTATGTAAAGCACCCTCGTATCCTTCTTTTATGGACACATCCATATCGTCCAAATATAATTCATTGTCATAGTCATAGTTAGCATCGCTCTTATGAGGAATGTTACTATTGGATAAAATATAATTAGATCAATTACACTGATGATAATAAATCATTTAATATTACTCAAGCAGCCTATTGACAATGCAAAGCAGCAGACATAAAACTATCGAATTTTATGCACATACTGTCGATGTCGTGTGGTATCTATTGCTTGCACATCATGACGATCTCACTATTCTTGATTATCGTAATCATTTGCGCTCACTATTCCTATCACTGTTGGAATAACACAATGTCCAAAGACAGAAACTAGATCGATAAAATAGTGTTGACGTTATTGTGTATTGGTTTTTTCTGTCGTATAATAAACATTGATTTTTAGCCAAATCGCAAATATACTCGCAAAAATATGTCAAAACTAGGCGTATACTTTTGCAAGCTCCAGTAATGGTTACAATTTAAAATGATTTCTTCGAGCTGAGATACAAATTGTATTTAAAATAGTATAGAAAATATAATAGATGCCCTATAATGAGGTTCTAATCGACTATAATGATATTCAAAAACATAGTCATTCTTAAGAGGAATAAAGGATGAAATATTTTATGAGAATTTCAAGTACGAATTCATTATTATAGTAATTATATACATTGGTATGCCTATTGGTGGAGATTAAGACCTAAAATCCAGTCTCGATTTGGCAAATATTTACTTGAAATAAGATTTTTTTTGTAACAGAAAGTGAATAACTATTACATAAACCAATCGAGTATAAATAGATTATAGCTGTGCTGTACAGGTTCAAAATGGACGAACAATAATTCTTTGTCATGTTCGCATCAAAGAAGATTTATCATTTGGTGATTTGGGACTTCTATAACATGATTAAGATACATGAATAGTCGAGTTATTTCATTCACATTGTTTACATTTTCACATAAGTATTTGTTAACACGACGTCATTTTGAGATCGTAAAAACAAAACATTTGAAGCAAGCCGACAAAAAAAAGTAGGAGTGGGAGTGTGCTCTCTGAGTGTGGGTGTGAGTGTGGTGGGTGTGGGTTATTCTTCTTCAATCAGCCGCAGCCGCAGACACACACTCAGCTTAACAGATTTTGTAACAGAAAAAACTCAATCGGTAATTACGTGTTATTGAGGTATGAAAGTAGAAAAGTATATTTCTCATCGCCCTCTGTGTATACATGATAGAGTAGCTAGACAAAGCTCTCCCAGACCACAGGTCATGACAGAGATTTCAAACGGTTTGCCTATCTGGCAGTTACGAATAAGCGTATAGGTGTTTCTATTGTTGCTAGCCAAATCAACAACAACACCCACACCCTTGCCGATTTATTCACTTAATAGAGTGACAATGCGTGTCATATATTTTTTAGTGCTTCTTTAATAGATAGATGTTATGAAGAGTTCGTTCAGGTAAATATGAACAACTTCAATCAGATATACGAATCTAATCTAGTTCGACAGCCCATAATCAATTTTCGTAACCAATAGAATTCGTGTTCGAATAGAGAATAATGTCGAATTATGAAGCCATAGAATTTGATCGTAAATTCGTATGTTGTTGCTAGTGAAAAACTTTGAAAATATTGTCCTTATTCAGGCGCAAAAAGGTCATGTGTATAAGGATAAATAATAAGTGGCGATCGTCATTCGTTTCTTTAGTGCCTGGAACTGATTAGCAGATGGCTTGAGTCCCATCATATATATAATCGTAGTTGAGTTAGAAAAAAATCAAAACGATGAGAGGAAAGTATGCATTATTGTTGATTGTGCTGAGGCAAGTAACATTAAGAATATTGTTAACATTATAGGATCATGTTTGTTTCTACATAGTCTATTCGATACGCTTAGTATCCTATGCACTTCTAATTCTCCATATGCCTTTGATCAAATAGATAAAATCGAAACTAAGGCATGCCAAGCAGCCTCACAATACGATCAATGTTCGTCGAACATCGCATGTGGCTGCTTGCCTCTAGCGACAGTGGATAATAAAGCGATGTGTGCTTATCTTCATCTCACCTGCACTCATTTGGTTTCGTGTGCTGATGCGAATCGAACATGTCATCAAGCTGGGCACGTGTGTGTGAATCATTCACGATGTAATAAAGTTCCACTATGTTACCCAATAGACATGGCCACTCAAATCATGTGTCCACCGATAACACGTAAGTGATGATGGGAGATTTTCGTCATGTTTTTTGCTCTATTGTATAGCTCTTTCATCTTCAATATCTAATATTTGCGGCAGTGTTAATTCATTATCCTGCTTAGACCAAATTTCATCTGACCAGCATCATATTTTCACCGATGGTTCTGTATTTCAGCCCTATTTTGACATCACTGGTTCATATCTGGTCCATTCAAACCATTCTGTTCATATCCAACAGCAAGGTCAGAAGGTGACATGGTCATATGACTCAGCATCACTAGCACATAGACTTCAAGCACAATATATCAATGCAACTCATATAGTTGGTATTCAAACTCGTCTCAATTTATTGACAAGATGTATCGTTTTATTTATTATTCAAATCGAGGTTACAGGGAACCGAAAATATTGTCACCAAGGATCAATCGCTCCATTCTCGGATATATGTGAATTACCTGCAAACTACACAGAAAAAATCTGTCGTACGAATTAACGAACAATTGCTTATTTGTTTGAGTTTATTTTTGCCTCATAGTATTACAAACTAAATGTAGAGTGTGTGAATGTGTGTGTGGGTATGGGGTGCGGATGTTGTTCTTCGCTGTGTCTACACCCACACCCGCACCCTCAAATGAACTCCTTCGAATTGCTTCTTCCATATTTTTGATAGTGACTAGAAAACTTGCATTCTTATTTTATTGCTCCAAAATAAACCGCCATCGATTCTAGTCAAGCTCTTGCCGGACTCTATTACTATCTGGATGTGTCCGATTGTGTAAATGTGGTTTTGAGTGTACCTATTCATATACTTGAAAAAGTGAGAAATATCTGAGCACTCCCGCTCACATCCTAAAAGAAATAACATTGTTGTGCAGATAATACGGGTTCGTTTTAACAGTAAAATCCCATTCTAATGAACTATGTAAACGCATTTAATGAGTGGAGTTTGCATTATTTTTCTATTAGAAACGTCTTAGATTGGTTTCATAAGTTTAGTTTTTGTTTTCTGAAAAATTTCTTTACTAAGACGAAAAGTTGTCATTTTTACGTTTACAGAGCATGGGTGAGAATGATTTGCTTGTTTTCATCTACACCCTTCCCTCCTCACACCTTTATCGGGAGAACAGAATGGCTGGTAAACAATTATGTTTGACAGACGGCGAGGCAAAAATAACTGCAATTTATTTCAGATGACAATCTAAATTGTTGTATGCAGCAAGAAAATGAATTGTATTCAAGAGAAATGCTTTGCCGAGATAATGTAGGAGAGAAAAGAACATTTGCAAGAGATTTTATTTTCTCTTTCTTCCTGTGCGATGTGTTTATGTGCCATTAGTTTTTTTTTGTAGAAAGTAGTGCAGACTGTAAAACGAAGCAGCCATAGCGAGATAATAGTTGCCTATCTATGAAAGTTTTCCTTCAAATATACCTCTTTCCAAATGTGTTCGACATTCAAATAGATAGGGAAAGTTTTACATTTCATTGAACAAGACTTTCTGTTTGACAACCTTCCTGTTGAAAAATATATTCCTTGGCCGCATAGGCAGTAAAATATGAGAAAAAGTATGTTACTATTTATTAAATTGCGCAGTTTCTTTGAGAAAAAAGTCGTGTTTATAAAAAAAAAAGAAGCTTTAAGATGTATTGGTTCGCACATATTAATCTGTTTAGAGGTTTTTCGATTACCATTTGTCCTTCTGAAACTAGGACAGAATGAGTGCTATTAACAGAGAACACCCTCGGATCTTTAAGCCATCTTAGATTGCTACTATTTTGCTAGAGTGTGCGTTCATTCTATCTTGACCTACACCCACCACCTGTCGTTCCGGTCTTCCATAACCACAAGATTCTTAAGTTCGTTGCAGTCACTCAAGATAACAAAATTATGGTGTGGGGTGGCTATAGATGTGAGTATGAGTAGTAGTGGTGTTCTCTTCCTGGGCTCATCCACACTCACATTCACCCTCATCTAGTGTAAGATAAAAGGACATCTGGAATTCTCCTTCTACGATTGCTGAAAACCACAGGCCTCTAACTACTACCGCTGTCGATTTATTAAAGTTATATTCCCATCTATGACTCTGGTGCGGATATCAGAGACATAATTTTTTTGAATATTTCGTGGCTGTGACATTTTTCCATTTCAACATTTTTGTTCATCGATATTAATCCTTTCGACATTTTTCATTTTGGGCCTTTCTGCAGCAAACATCACACCCACACCTTAAAACGACTGGCTTGTTCCTGAGATGAGGAGGTCACAAGAAATGCAAGTATTTTGAAAGACATACAAAAACTCGTAGTTTTCTTGAATATTTAATATTTCAGGAAGTAGCCGTTCATTTTGGCTGAAGTCCTTGATGCATTTTAGAAACTGTGAGGCTTCTCTATGAGAAAAGTTCAGTTTAAAATAGTGCCATTCAATTTTTCTCGAAATATTTTACGATAAAAAACCGATATCATGGTCACGATTTCACAGTAAAAATATTTGGGAATGAAGCCTTCTAAGCTTTTACTAGTTTTATTAGGCTTTACTGAATAAGAACCATTTCATCTCAATATTAATTTATCATCTCTAAAGGGGTTCGCGTTAGGCAGTTTACAACTGGTTGAATCTTCCTGTTCTAGCTCTGATTTGCTATCATGGCCAATGAGCATTTGCAAAACTATATACGAGTAATGTTTGACATCGATGAATTGATTAGAAGTCGTAAAGTTACGAGTGAGGTCATTAACAATATGCTTCTGAAGTATGGTAACAAAGAAATCGTTCAACACAGAAACTCATTTTTTCTGCAAAAAATAATTGAATGAATAATATATGTAGTATTTTAAATCAACAACAACAACATCTTCCTCAATTGAAAGAGTTTACAGTACAATTGCTACAGATAAAAAATGTGAACCACAATCAAGTTTTTTATTCTGCGATTCCAAGAAAATTAGTATGATAGATTTTTTTCAAACACAAAATGAATGTTTTCGAACTTGGTTGAACTTTCTAAGATATTTTGATTCATTTTACATTCAATCAGATGGAATATTTTGAGTACGATAAGTTCGAGGCAGTCGCAATATCTGTCCTGGCTAATATTAAATGTGGCTGAATGCCAGGATTTGCAATGATTATATCTTCGATCGTGCAGCCAAACCATTCCGAGATGCGTTCACATGTGTCTCCGGCAAAGACGGTGTAAGATATCAAATCGGATCGTTGTTCCTTCGAAGTTATTTCATTTTTGGACCGTGAAGCTAGTGATAATAATGCATATGAAAATTATCTCGTGAAATAAATGAATTTACATACTTGAGCTTGGCAATCGTACTACCTGACCGATATCGAGCTTTGTAGGTTCGATACCTGAATTCAAAGCTAGAATTTCTTCGAGAGTACAGTCATATTTTTGAGAAAGAAGCCAAAGTGTGTCATCAGATACGATGGTATGCGTGAATGGGTCGTTTGCTAAAAATAATATAAAACCAAATGAATCATTCGATTGACACGGAAAATCTGATTATGATAGATTAAATTAGAACAAATAATGATAACTGCATAGTTTTACACAAAATAGTACTCAAACGTGTTCTGAGGATCAAATATGAATTTGTAACACTGCTGAGAATGGCCGATTTTCAATCAACCTAGTTGGAGTAATGAAACACCTGTATATATAAATATAGAAACTCGTGTTATAAATTTCAGCACTCATGAACAATCATGTTTCGAAAACATTTCACATCCATCGAACATAGTATGCCACAGAGATGGACGTGTGATGAGAAGGAGTTAGGTTTGACTTCTTTTAACCATAGTGTCTCCTAATAGAAGTATTGCACAAAGTGAAGTCCACAATAACTTTTGTTCTCCTAACCAAGATCTAATTATACACCCTAAAAATATCAGTTTTTCATCAAAACATTTTCGAAATATTTCAAAAATGGAAGGATATTAAGTCCTAAAACATTACAATCTAATTGTAAGAGTTTAAAAGATTGAGGTTTTTTTTCTCAAAACAATGTTCAGTAGTCTTCACAGTTACCTTGAAAAGGTCGCTCGAGCAGTTCAAATTGCGGTTGTATCTGTTTCAATTGAATAATGTGGAGATCAGGTGCTGGATTAAGTTTTGCTTGAACTTTGAGTCATGTGCCAGGAAGAAGTAATACCTCATCTTCAGCAGGAAAATATGAATGATCTTTTACAAATCGTTCATTGAATATTTCAATAGAGAAGATTGCTCTCTTGCCAGAATTACCCAAAACGCATGAGAATTGAGAACATTCAATGACTTTGTGCATGATGAGAATCCCCACCAAACTGTCTCATCACCTTCTATATATTTGATACTTTCTTCATTACGTATGCCTCGCCAAACGGTTTGAATAGATGCGGAAGGTAGTTTAGTTAAAGCAGTAAGAAGCAATTTGAGATAACGAAACCAGGGCTTCAATTTCGTTCGATCTGGTTGTCGTAATGTTTGATTGAGATATGAATAGAGACTTGCGTTAGGACCATCCTTTTTTGAATCCCATTGCATAGTGTAGAGACAAATAGCGGCTGATTCATCTTGAGTGAGGTTATTGGCAGGATTTTTCGACTTGTTCTTGGCAATATTCATGTAAAGTTGCAACCGAGGAATGATTGAATGCAGAGATTCACACGCTTCTTCCACGGAGAGAAGAGGCTCAGCAGCATAGCCTCTGATAGGTGTAAACATTTGTTTGGGCTCATCTCCAGTACTTACTAGATAAGTGGATGATTCACGTTTGACTGGTATGGCAGTCATATGAATGTGTAAAGTGTACTTTGATGTGTTGATCAGAGAAAAAATATGCAGCAGAATGCAACATACATCATTGAAGCAATCAACCATGTTCTATTCATGACGCATAGGTAGATCGTATGAGACGATATATTGCATTCGAAAGTTGACAAGAAACATCATGATTGGTTTTAGGTCATTCTCCTATAAAAGAATGAGATTTTCAATCTGTTTACCTATTTCTCTTTATAGGTCTGAATTGTGAAGTTTGAATCTGTTTCATTGAAAAATATTCTTATCTTGTCATTAACTCAATGATTTCGCCTTTTCTTTATCGATTTTCAGCAAGTCGTGCCATCTATCGAATGATTTATTCTCATTTTCTCTTAAATGGTATTTAGTCGTCCAAGGGTTTATGGGAATTTTATGTAAGGTATTTGAAACTAATAAGTTCTGTTATAGGGTTTATTATTCTACGTACTTTTCTACTACGTAGGGGAGATGCGGGTTTCCTCTTCGTGTCCACACTCTCATTTACATCATGAAGTTGATAGCTCTAATGTTTATGAAAATTATAAAATAGATATTGTTATAACAAAAAATATTATGAACTCTTGTAATGATGTTTCAAACAGAGTTGACTATCGACGAAACTCAATTCACGAGAATTGTGGAGCAATTCGCTAAAAATTGAAATATATCTATATGATCATCTGAAGAACGAAAGAAAACC